TATATATATATATATTTGAGATGGAGTTTTGCTCGTTACCCAGGTTGGAGTGCAATGGCATGATCTCAGCTCACCGCAACCTTCGCCTCCTGGGTTCAAGCAATTCTCCTGTCTCAGCCTCCTGAGTAGCTGGGATTACAGGCAGCTACCACCACGCCCAGCTAATTTTGTATTTTTAGTAGAGACGGGGTTTCTCCATGTTGGCCAGGGTGGTCCCGAACTCCTGACCTCCAGTGATCCGCCCACCTCGGCCTCCCAAAGTGCTGGGATTACAGGTATGAGCCACCATGCCTGGCCAAAAAATAATTTTAAAAAAAGAATGGTAGTTACGAGAATAAGTATTGGAGTCCGTCACTTAGTAATGGAGGGACCTTCAGAAAATTCTTTAATCTCTCCTGGCCTCCATTAACTCATCTGAAAGAAAACAAAAGGCTGGGAGGCAGAGGCAGGGTGTGATGGCAATAGTGTGCATTTTACAAGGTTACTGTAATAGTCAAATAAAATAACAGACCAGGTACTTAGCAGCAAAGCCTGATACAAAGAAAGTGTCCAGTTAATGGTAGGAATTATTTTACTTATATTTTATTCTCTCTGGGCCTGCTAACAGATCTCTCACCAAGCAACATACACAGTTGCGGCACAGTTACAGGGAGTAATCTGTGGCTACATCATGCTCTTTACCTTGTAGCTAACTGACTCCCTTCTTCCCAGAAATAAAATAAAATGGCATCCACTACAATTGCTAATGGCATCTCTGTTTTCCAACCTTTTTCTCTTTCAAGAATACAACCCTGTACTAATCTTTGGTGTTTTTCTTAGACCTTTATAAGCAATCAGTAATCAAGGCTTAGCAATTATCTTTAATTCTACCCTATCTACATTTAGATCTGGATCCCATAACCTCCCTTCTGCAATAGCCTCCCAGCTACTTATTCTACTTTTATCAATTCCTCTACTTCACAGTAGTCCATTCTAAATAAAAATATCTTAAAAGTACATCTTAATATTTCCTTAATAGCATTCTCCTTCTAAAAACATTCTTCAGTGATTTGTCATTCTCTATTTTCACCTTCAGCCGACTCTATAAGTATACTACAGTCATAGTTTATCCTTAATTTCGAGGATCTTGTATTCAATAAAGTTTATGATGAGCTGATCATCTAACTCTATTTTCTGGAATATTATAAAGTTAATGCCCATAAATTATGAACAAAGAATACTTTTTTTTTTAAAACAAGGCTGTCAGGGGAGTTAATAGAGGGTGAATCTCATCTCTTAGGCTTCTAAAGTTAGAGGTCAGAGCCTACATCCCACCAAGACCTAGATAATGGGAGATGACCCAAATCTAGCAAGTGGGTTCAGGTGCCGGGCAGCCAAAAACAGTTATAGATGACCACTACCGTTAAGTGACCTAAATATACACATTAGGTGCATTATACCAGAATTATGCCCTACAAGAACTGGGCAAATATATTCTTGAACAACGAATACTTTTTTCATACTACCTTCTCATATACTCAAAGACAGAGCTCTCTTCATCTCAATCCTATTTTTTTTTTGGAAGGTTTTTTTTTTTTTTTTTTTTTTTTTTTTTTTTTTTTTTTTTTTTTTTAAATATTCTGGAAATTTTAAAATCTACACATATTTTTAAAAGAATCTTAAGCCTAACACCTTACATAGAGCTCGTATGTCTAGGTGTCCTGTTTTTTTTTAAACTTAATTTGTTCTATTAAAATAGAAAAAATTCCCAGTAAGCAAATGACAACCTACATTCACTGAGTAAATATTTTATTGCTCAAACAATTAAGAATTTTAACTGGAGCTGTTAATATGTGATATTTTGGTTATATGTGAAATATATTTTTGCATTTTTATAGGTTATCAAGTATTCAACAAATGAATCATGCTTACTATGGGCTAGGAATTGTTCTATGGACTTAAAGATTAACTCATGCTACACACATAATAATCCTATAAAGTCCCATTATCATCATCTTTATTTCAGCTGCGATAAAACTGAGACTAAGAAAGCTTAAAAAAAGTGCCCAAGGTCACAAGCTTGATTAAACATCCCCTATAGTCACCATTGGCAAAGATACGGTAGTTAAACCAGCTGTAACAGTTATAAATCTTTCTGAATTTTGTTTTCATTTTCCCTCTTGTACAATAATGTACTGTCCATCTGGATATATGGAATGAGTACTTCATTACCAAGAATAACTGGTATTGGTAAAGGGTCATTTAAAATGAGTCCACTTAAAACCCAGGCCAAATTTTCATAATAAAGAGTTTTTTTATTAACTTTCATTAAGACTTTATCTTTCAAAATTGAAACTAATTTATAATGAATATAATTTAGTCACTTAATAAGTGAGAGACCTTCAAAAATTTCTTTAGTAACTAAATTTTTTTTAGAAAAATACAAAACAAACCAAATGAACTGGAAATGAGTACGCTCTCTGGGAAGAAAAAAATGATAGCAAAATACAACTTTTTTCTAATGTGCATTCAACGTAACATAATTATAAAGGTTTTATTTTGCAAAAGAATATTCAAAACATTTCAACAGTTTTTCTAACCCTTTCAAATTATACTCTAAGAGATCTATCCATTAAAATCCTTCCCAATTTTCGCTTGCTAAATAGTCCATGAGTCTAACTCTACCAGATCTTTGTTTTTTAAGGATTCACAATTCCAATGTCAACTACCAAGAGGATCTGCCTTGTATCTGAACTAACGTATCAGCAGATCAGTATCTAACAAGCTGGCATCCAAAAGCATAATAATGCAATGGGCAGAGGCACATGTTAGTATTAGAATCGGATATTTGATGGGGAATTTTATAAGAAGTCAGTTCATTAATGAATATTTTGATATAGACAACCATTGCCTTTTGTTTTTTAAAGCAAATTACAAACTACGGAGATTCAGAAAATAATAAAGCAGAATTTGAGTATCTGTTCTTTTCACTTTAAGATTAAAGACTCACTTTTGTTGATGGGTAGTAGCAATATGTTTGTGAGTATAGGTACTTTTTCTACATATGCCTGCAAAGCTTTGGAAAGAAACATGAGCACTCTTACGTGATATGACGTGGTCTATGTACTGAGGTAGGTAAGGAGCCCAGGCATCGATGGCTTCCTTCCTGCCTGCCTGCTCAATTCTTCTCAGTTCTGCTAGAAGCAGGGCCTGTGCGGCTTCTCTCACCTAAGACCATAGACCCAAACGTAAAAGCAGAAAGTGGATTAGTTGAGGAGGTATTTATAAACTAGAAAATTTATAATGAAATGAAGCTACAAAGCATAAAAACCATATTTACATGAAAAAAAAACTATTAACCGAATCAGTTAACTATTTAAAAATTAGATGCTAGCAAATCAAAGACATTTTAATTAATGATTTCACTGAAAAATATTTTAACACTAATGGAAAGAAATAGGTTTCAACCATTTAATCATCTTTGGGGTTAAGACTTCATTTTCCAAAGCATTCTTGAACTTTCATGTAGCATTTTACTTTTAAAATTTCTATATTAACATTATCGTTAAGCCACTGTGAGAGCTATTAAATTTGGGTTTTTTTTAGCTTGAAGAAACTTAACCCTATCTATTTAATTTCTTTATATTATATATACTAAGTAGATACTATTATTTATACAAATATGTATAAATTAACATGATTCATGTATACCTAAGACATACTTAAATAATTTGTTTTTGACAAATAGGTAAATATATTCCTATATAAAGGAATAACTTCTTTTAGTTCTATAGAGGAAATCACTTTTCAAAATTATACATATTTTTCTTTCAGTGTAGCATACAACTTTTATTTTGCAGTTTTAAGTTAGTTTTATTTTGGCAAAAAAGCCACAGGCATGAAGTCAAAAAAGCTAGTCAATTATTAAGTGACGTACCAACTTATTAACTCTTTTTTTTCTGAGACCAAGTCTTGTCCTGTCACCCAGGCTGGAGTGCCATGGCATGATCTTGGCTCACTGCAACTTCCACCTCCTGGGCTCAAGTGATTCTCGTGCCTCAGCCTCCCGAGTAGTTGGGTCTACAGGTACGTGCCACCATGCCCTGGCTTTTTTTTTGGTAGTATGTTTAATAGAGACAGGGTTTTGCCACATTGCACAGGTCTCACCCGCCTGGGCCTCTCAAAGTGCTGAGATTACAGGCTTGTGCCACCACACCTGGCCAATTAACTGTTTATAATTGACAAGATAACTCAGCAGCATCTAAATAAGAGTTCCAGTAAAAAAGCTGTTTTTAAGTATAAGTGACTTCTGAAGTGAATTCAAAATATTAAGTCAATGAAAACCCATGAAAATATTAGTACTGTGCAATACCACTTGAAGTTGAGGGAAGAAAGTCCAGGAAGGAAGTATATTACTTGTACTTATATTTGGAAAATTAAGAATCCTGAATAATATAAACTGCAATGGCTATACAGGTTAAACGCCATAATAAGGAAAATCTTTATTAAACATTTCCAAGTCCTCGGTAATATATTCCAAGTAATATCCAATGCAGAATAAGGCCATTAACACAAAATGATGGCTGCTATTTATTGAGCTGCTACCACGTGTCAGGCTCTGTACTTCCTGTTTTACTTGCATCATCCGATTTGGTAATGACAGCAATCCCATGAGGAATATATTATTATCCCCACTTTACAAATGAGCTTTAAATAGGTTAAGTAAATTGCCCAGGGTCACAGTTAATAATTGGTGGTACTGATATTTAAACCCAGGTCTCTTCTAATTCCAAGGCCTCCTTTTACAGTAACACAGTACCTTTCATTGAAATATGGCTATTCAATTAGAATTTATGTGATGATACTGAGTGTGTATTTCTGGAGGAGGCAGGTTTATGTATTTATTTATGCATGTGTGTGTATGATCTGTACAGAAACCAAACTTAACAAATAGCTCCATAAAATATCCAAGACTATCAGTCACTGAATTATTTTAAAAGTAAACAACCCAGCTGGAACATTACTGGTTGGTACAAAAGCTGAAAAAGAAAACATAAATAACGAATCCACATTTTCTATCACATAATGAACAAATCATACATCAGATAAACACTAATCATTTTTGTTTCAAGTTTACATTTTTGACCAATGCATTTTTAATATTTTTGTTTTTTATCTTTATCACCTCAGCATTACCTCCAAGCATCGATCTTGCCATCTTCGGGCCAGCATCTCCAGAAGGGGAGGCCTAAATTTATCCAATCCCAATAGGTCTGGCAGCATAACACAGTGCATAGCAGCTAACTGACTCCAACCTGTCAAAAAATGTCATATGTTAAAAACACTTAAAACATTTTGCCATTCCCTAAGTCAAAAGGTCTTTATGTAAGCATACCAAAAACAAAAAAAAGGCAGGTATGCTAAGTTATATTACAAATGATTTTAATTTAACAGTAGACATTTGTACAAGGAATTATACTAAATGTATTTCATCCCTAAATCATGTAATTGGTGCCTATGAGAATTCTCAACATCTTAAAACAAATGAATTTCCAAAGGAAGTATATCCAAATTCACAAGAAAAACACATTTCTTAACAGTCCCTCTAAGATAAAACATATTAAAGAATGGTAAAACACAGAAATAAAGACGTATCAGAGCAATAGACTTGAAACCACTGTCAGTTAAAAGGGCATTCACACAGATATCCAAAGATAGGTTTATGTCACTTATGGCGCTCTGTGTGTTACTATTGTTCAGCCAAAAGAGATGTCCTCCCTTTCTGTCAGAGGACCTCTCATTAAGGTACTTACTGACCCCTTTTCTTACAAAATGAATCAGTTATTTCATCACAATCATAACTGATCTAAGTAACATAACCCACAATTCTGAGAGAAAAAAAATGAATTCAGACATTCCACAAAATAAAAATCTGACGATTCAAAATTTATAAAATCTTAAACATGGTTAAACCAATCTATGGGAATAAAAGTTACTTTTTCTAAAATTCTAATTCACAATATGGAACTTGATTATAGGAAAAAAGATAAATACTGTATGCCAGTGCAATATTTAAAAGTATTAGATAACAGACATGCTCAAATAATCACTTCAACCCTATTTTAAAGGTATGTGAAAAATATATATACAACAAATGCCTCTTATCAAATTATAGATGAGGCCACTATTAACCCATGAAAGTTACCATTACTTCCTAGGGATAATAAAGACAAGTTATCAAGGATGGCTGCAAACTGTCTGCTATCATATTACAAGGTGAAATATCTGTGAACACAGAATTTTAGCAAAGCAGTGTTTTGAAATAAGCTAAACTGTAATCTTCTTAAAATAACGACAAAAACCTTACCATAAAACTTTAAATAATTATTGGAATTGTTAAAGGGAGTGAGTGAGTGAGAGAGGGAGAGAGAGAAACTGACAAGTCACTTATCTAAAGATTCATCCTTTTAGTGAGAAAATTCTCATCAACTGATAATAAACATGTCATTACATTACTTAAGGTGATGGGAACATATTTTAGATTATAACTTATTTACAATAGAGGGAGATACACTTTATATATACATGTATGCATATACCTGGTCATTTCCTAAAGTATTTCAATATTTCATATAAGTATAAAGTATATTCATGAGCTAAATTTTAGCATGATGATGATTCTCACCAAGGCCCAAAATCTAAGTGTATTTTTGAATTAACAAATATTGTAACAAATGTGACCGTAATTATTTTTGCTAAAATTCAGTCTTAACATACAAACCTTAGTACAGTTCTATGACAAGGAAACCAAAAATAAAGTTATACTTTTAAGTCCCCATGTTTTCTTTCCAAAGGAGTGGTACTTGCTACATGGGCTCTGTACTTTATAGACATTGCAACGTTCCTTCCATTTGAATGGACTAGTAATATTGCTTTTTCATGAAGAGCCAGGTTTTCCTGTTATAGTTTTGATTTTGAAAATTTCTTCCTTATTATGCAAAGTGGTAACTACGAACACAATGAAGACAGTGGATTTAACTCAGAGCTCACGTTTCATTAAGCTTCCAGGCAGTACAAATAATCCTAGAAAGTCTTATGGAATAAAGGTTTGTAGATCCAATTCCCATTTTCAGAGCTCCAAAAATATTTTTGACTTGTGTTACCCCATAGAGATAATATGGTAGCCCAACTACACCTTAAATACTGAAATAATGAATTTTTGCCTGAGCCTAAAACAGAAAACTAGGAGAACAGGTGAATTCCTATCGGTCTATAATTACTGATGCCAATATTCAATCTGAAGACTTTTACAATGAGAATGTTAATTAAGAAACTCCCTAACAACTCCCTCTAACTAGCATAAACAACCGTGTAAAGAGAGCAAAGTGTGTCTGTCACCAAGTAATGATACATAAAATAAATTCATTAGCTCTAATGCCAGAGATCACATGGCCAACATCATTACAAAAACCAATCCACCTTTAACACTGACTTTACATCAACGGTTGGCATATTTGCACTTCCTTAACAATTTTTTAGATTATAGGAAACATGATTTATACCAGCCAGGGGTAACGTTACATTTTTATAACTGGCTCTTGGCATTGACATTAGCAAATAAAGTCATAAAATGGGAACTTCAGAATCTCATACATAACAAAGCAGATGAATGTATAACTCAGATAAAAAGAACAGGTCTGTTAGAATAAAGCACAGATTGAGAGAAAGTTGTTAGGAAGTTGAGAGAGATACCTTCATTTACTAAGAAACAGGTATGTAAAGCAGGAGCAGAAGCAGGGTCAGAGCCAGAGTGATCAGCATCAGACCGAGCGGAAACGACAGGTGCAGCAACTTGCAGAGGAAAAGAGAAGAAATAAAGAGGAGAGAATTGAGGTACAGCAGTTTCTGAAAAAACGCTTAGTATTAGTGAAGAATGAAAAACAAAGTTGGCAAAACAGAGAATGTGGAACTGAAACGATGTTTTCATCAGAAGGGCATGATCATTAAAGATTACAGCAGAAAAATGATATATTTTATTGAACAGTAATCACAATAAAGTTCAAATTCCTCTTAAAGTGAAAACCTAATATTCTGATAAATGTATTGACTAATACAAAACGTAGCTCTAAAACAACTAAAGCCATAATGAAAAAATGACAACATTAAAAACTAGCAAAAATGTTATTCAATTTTTAAAATGTATCACTTAATGAAAAAGCTTGATGTTGGTCTTCATATTACCAGTTACATTTTTCTAATAGTTTATTCTCTGACATTATGTGTAAATTATTTTTAAATTTACAAACCAATATTCACCGAGATCACTTCAACTTTTCACACTTTTATGAAAACCCAATTTAAAATATCCCAACTTGCAAAGAATATATATATACCATATATACCATGTTTAACTCATAGAATCCTAACAGGTTCGTTCATTGTAGTGTTTTTTAAAAATTATTTTAAAATGCCTCATACACTAAAAAAGGTTTTGTGAATTTTGTAATTCTTATAGAGGTACCAATTCACTCCATACCCACCCCCAATAAAGTTATGTTGCCAAGAAAATGTTTCAGCTTAAATTATCATATGAAAAAGCAAAGGGACCGTATGGCACACACATTCTACAACTGGAGGTCAATGTTAAGATTTAGAGGTCACCATTTGACACTTCCTTCCTATGGCGAAATTACCATATGTCATGCACAAGCATCTTCAAATTAATCCCTCTCCTTTCTTCTGTCATTGAACAGCAATAGGTTCGGGCTCCTGAACAGATTAAGCATTGTCTACTGAATGATATGTTTGCTTTTCATGCAGTGAAGTTCTTTTGTGACAACAGGACAGCTGCATGAAAACAACGTTTTCATAATTTCCACACGAATGCATCATAATGTCAATCAGGCACGTGTGAGGTAAACAGCAGAACCAAAAGTAGTCCATGAAAAGTGACACAAAAAGAAACTCTAACTCCATAAACCCTAAGAAGCACGTCTTGCACAAATGAAAGTTTCAACTGGGAAATTCTAATTCTTACTATAAGAGATCTGTTTTTTGTTCCTTATGATATTACAATTATTTTATAATGTTATACTTACAAAAGAAATAGAGCTGCTTTTAATTCTGTATTTCATAAAATCTACAAACTAATCTTGCAAAGAAATCCCAAATATTTTTATATTCCATGGAATAATTTTATTTTTTACTTATCATTTTTAATTACAAATTCAGTGATTATGACCTATAAATTATTCATCCTCCATGCAAAAAGTTGATAAGCCTTTGTAGCAAGGAGCAAATTTTCAGGTTTTAGTTTTCGTTCTATCAAAATGTTCCTCTGGTGGCTTGAATTAGGACTTTTCTGTATTTTTTCAAAAATGGGGAGAAATTATTATCCCTGGAAAGGCTGTGTTAATTTTATATGGTTTTACCCTTAATTCTGGAAGGACAATAGAATGAGAGGGTGAGGAAATTCAATACAAATGAAAAAAAGTTTAAGATTGAGTGGTCATTACCCTAACATAGGTCAAATAAGTAGTGGGATTGTTTCATATAAGGAACAAGTGTAAAAGGAAACTAGAAACGTTACTGGCAGAAGTGCTAGAGTAAGCATATGTCTTAATGCAATATTGTTCAACATATATAACTATTTTTAAGGAAAGAAAAAACAGATCCTGGGTATTGTATTTTTGAGGTCATATTTAAAGGACATTTCATTTAGAAAAAAAAGCCACTGACACTCTTCCTTTAATAAGTTTTGTGGGCATTAAAAAAAAAATCAAGAAAATATTGTAATAGAAATCAAGGAATCAGATTTACCATGCTTTAAAAATCTCTGCATCTCCACCAAAAAATATTTTATTCACACTACCTCACAAATTAAATGGTAAACTCTAGAGCACTTTCATAATTCATCAAGAAATTAAACTCTGCTACAGCTTTTACAACTGTCTATATTTAAAAAAAAAAAAATCAGCAAGTAGCAGAAATAAATTACTTCCAAAAAGCTCGATTTAATAAATAATAAATCTGAGGTTTCATTGGGCTCTGAATATGAAAGATTTATACCATAAAACACCATCAAGCATTTGACTTCTTAACAGAAAAGCTACTATGTCACCTGTCAATTTGCTTCTCTCATTAAGGATTAGCAAAACATAAGGGAAAACAGTTTTAGCACAGCTTCAACATACTGACAGAACTAACACAGTGCCATTATTTTACCTGAACCTCTTTCAAATGCTTACTCTCATAAGAAAAGACAGGTGAAGACAAAGCTGTGTGACAGCATGTATATGCACACATCTACCCCAGCTTCCCCTTAAACAGCAATACATACATACTCAATATTACAACATCCCTAGATTCTGCTTCCGAACAGGTATATTTCAGTTTTTAATTGAAATCTGATTCTAAGCTACACTTAAATTTGATTCTAAACCACTCCCACTGTGATATTAAAAATATTTTATAGGACAGAAAGTTAACGTATTTTGAGTGGCAGGTGCTCCATACATATTGTTCTAATTCTCGTTACCTCCTATCACACATACACAAATAGCCCTTTCCAATACATTTTTCAGAGACAAAAATTTAGAAAGTACAAAAAATGCGATGCTTAAAAAACTGAGTTTAAAAGCTTAATACAAAAAAAAAAAATAAATAAAAAAAATAAAATTAGTTACTGATGAGTCCTTTTAAAGTATTTCATGGTAATCATGTCATGGGGAGGGTGGGTGAGGGGAGAGAAGGAGGACGAGAAGAAAGAAAACATGAAAAAATTACAAGTTAAGAAACTTTGTAGAATTAATCACCAGATGCTTAACATAAAGGCATTTGTCACTAAGTCTGCATCTAGTCCAGGTATTACAGAGCAACAACTGGCTTTCTGGAAGTTTTCCTCTGTGTTAATACTTTTTATGTTTTAGGTAGATGGGCATTTTAGTCATCTTCTAAATCAACAGGAAACATTAGGATAAATCATTAATTCCGCTTTCATTGTCTCTTTTTTAATGCCTGACTTTTTGAGGTACAAAACTAGGTAAAGCAACCACCTGTTTGGTTAAGCTTAATTGTATCTTAAATGCTTTATGCAATTGCCATAATTAATTGACTAACTTTGCTATGAATGCAAAATTGGCAAGAAAACTCTAATTATCCTAATTCCTTGTTATCTGAAAAATTCCCACTCGGTATTTCCTAATGCCAAAAAGATTACAAAAAGCTATAACAATACATTTAACTATTATCATGACTAAAAGATTAGAAAACAAATACATTAGTAATGATCAAAAAAGCTTCCTCTTTAAAGAAAGAAAGCCTGCAACCTTGTGTGTGTAGTAATCATAAAGACTGTGTCTTAGACCCCCATTATAATACTATCCTTTAGCATAATACCACCAGATGCAGATAAAAACAAAAGTGCCTCATAAGGGGGCATATTACTATTTCAAGAACCCTGACTCATTAAACTAATTGGCAAAATATGCCTGATGAGCTAGAGCTGTTTTGTTATTATACAAGAAGGCACTGAGCTTTAATTCTGCATATTTTAATATGTCCAATAGAATTGGCAGCTCATGCAACATGTATGGCAATAATATAAGCACAGCTTTAATAAGTCAAACAGTATTAAAAAGCTCATTTTGAATATAGTATTCCACTGCCCCATCCCCACGTATGGCTCCTGAGAGGAAATCACTTTCAACCATTTAAACTATTTCTTACAGCATTTACTTCCATATTACTAAATAATATAATATGCTAATCCTGCAATTTCATGATTTACCAAATCTACACATTAGCTATTGGTTACTGTGGAAGATGATTTAACTCTGACAAACCACATCTCCTAACCAATCTCCTTTCCTTTATTTCCAATATAAATATAATAAACTATTTTATATAGATTTTTAATTATATAGATATATTTTATGTATCTCGCTATATAAATGATCATTTATATAGAGAGATAAGTATCTATATGGAAATAATGTTCAATGTTGACTCAGATAGCTTACTAAGATCATATTTCCTTCCATGGACATGTTCCTGGGGTGTTTTCTGAATTTAAAAATTCTATTTTCTCCCCATTTGCCTTCTTTTCTATGTACCTATTTCTAAGTTAAACCCTTCAACAGCTTCTCAATGATTTTCCACATAGCAGGATCATTTTCCCATGAACCATCTCTTCGGAAGTCATCTCACATCCCTGCTCACGTCTGTCACGTGGCTGCCATCCCGAGACTTCCCTTCACTGTCATCCTGTCCATTCTCCCTCAGTGCTCTCTTCAATGGGTTCCCCAGTTCCTGGGCCCTGTGCTTTATTTTTCCCTGGTTTACTTCTTTATTCTGATGGAGCACATCTTGTAAAACTTTGCTGAGAAAAGGTACTCAATATGGTAATAGTAATTTTTTAAGGCTATGAGGTCTGAAATTACCATTATTCTGCCTTTTTATTTGACTGATAGTTTGTATTCAGAATTCTAAAAATGCAAAAATCATCTTTCTTTGAGGTTTTATGAGACAGGGTCTTGTTCTGTCGCCCAGGATGGAGTGCAGTGATGTGATCACAGCTCACTACGGCCTCAACCACCCAGTCTCAAGCCATCCTCCCAACCTCAGCATCCCAAGTAGCTGTGAATACAGGTGCACACCGTCACACCCGGCTAATCTGTTTTTGTTTGTTTGTTTTGGTAGAGGTGGGGTTTCGCCATATCGTCCAGGCTGATCTCTAACTCTTGGATTCAAGCAATCCACCTACCTCAGTCTCCCAAATTACTGGGATTAAAAGCATGAGCCACCACGCTCCACCTTTCCTCCACATTTTTAAGAAACATACATCTTCTAAC